CTTAACACTTGAAAATCAAGAGTCAGCCCCAATGCAACTGTTTAATCTCTCCTTTATGAAACAGTAAAAAATTTCAAGTACGATTCTAAGCCAGTAGAGGACAAGGTATTTTTTTTAAGCGGGAGGGGGAAATATGTTCAGGATAAACAATATGAGCATAATCTAAAATGCTGTCAAAACAGTAACATAGTATTTCAGCTTTAGAGCTGTCCTTCAGAGAGCCTGCTTGCCACAACTCTGAGTTTGAGATAGAGACTGGATGGAAGCAAGCCCCTGGAAATAATGTACACTTTGTAAACAGCCATGGAACATTTTATTTAGAGTAGTCTCTATGGTAGGGTTAAGTTTACACAATAAATTACTCTAAATGCTGAGTATAAATAAATGCACTTTTGCTCCATGGAATTCTGATTACAAGTGGGATTGTTACCTGCTTACAAAGCATTGTATTATATCTCCTTATCCACTTCTACCCAATGTCACTCTGCTTTTTTCATTTGAAAGGTTTTGCTTCCCTCTCCCTCCTTTCTCCTCTGTATTCCTCTTTTTAAAAACAACTACAGTCTATCATTTTACCTCTGCTGCCTGGCTGTATTTTTCCACTGCACTGACAACTATCAGTGAATACAAGAAAGATGAGTTGTAGGCTCCTGTATTTTTGAACAAGGTAGCAAATCACAGAAGAATCCAGTGCATAATTCTGCAAGGCTAACCATTTGGAGCAGTAAAGACCATTATTTTCTGCCTACTGATGGCAGAGGTCAGCATCCCTGTCATTAGCTGTGTCAAACTACAATTATATAACTGCACTTTATGTGAACAGATATCTGAAAACACTGTGAAGTTGCAAATATGAAAATTAAAATATACCTATCCTTCTTACAGCACTGATCAAAGTGGTCTTTGCAGGTGACACTTCAATAGGAAAAGCCACAAGACTGTTATTTACTTCTCTCTACTTAAACATTTAAACTTATCATCCGACTTCTTCCAGCATCTTGAAATCACTGGCCATATTCTATCAAATTAAGACACCTGGATTATCAAAGTTATTTCTTTTATATAATTCAACTCAATTACAGAATGTGACATTTCCTAAAATAAACTTCAACTGAACAGACTACTCACATTAGCCTGAACGTATCTGAACTGCAATTATGCTTCAAGTTTCAAGGGGTGAACAGTATAATCTCAACTCTAAATCTGTCCAGCATAAGAGCTCCACTATGTTATTTCAAAGGCTGACCTATATACCAAAGCATACCGTCCATTCTGTCTGTTTGTATAAGAGATACCTCTCACAGTTGTCATAACCAACATTGTTTGCATTGTTTCTTCACTTTTCTTTCTCCATGGGTAATGCAAGAGAAACAAGGAAAAGCCTGCATAACAATATATGCAGAGCATAATGAGCTTTCACAGCAGATAGAGAAATATTAGGCTAAGATGCTTAGAATGCTATTTTAGGTTTATAAAATAAAGATCTAAGCAGTCTTCTGAAACAAAGCCTGCCAACTGAAAATTGTAAGATAAGAGGCGATTGTTTGAATCTACATTATTTTCCTCTGGCTACAGAAAAATGCACAGTCAATAGCTCCCATGCATGTGCCTGGGAACTCATATGCTACAAACAACCATCTGATCAGGGAAAAAAAAACAGTACTAACAGAACAACTAGAAAATTTAAAAGCCTGAGTATTTGTGGAATACATTCTAAATTACCAGCAGCTCAAGCAGACTTCAAATGTAAACAATCAAAGTCTGGAAAATTTGTAAAAGGAAAAACACCACCAAAACCTAGATATGAAAAATAGGGCCAAATCTGCTAGTAAGCGCCAAAAGCAAGTTTTAACTAACTTTACAAGAAACAAGAACCCAGAGGATCTTGAATGAGTTCCCAATGAGTTTTTCAGGTAGATTCCTAAGGAAGACCACCATTCTGGCCCAGAACAAGGATCCATCACACTCCAGCCATCATCTCCTTTCCTGGGAGAGTTTAAAAGCGAACACTCAACCAAACATACAGAACAGAAAACTCTGCAGGCCTCCCGCCCTTCCAACTCCCTAAATACACACAGCCTGAAAATGAGTGACAGAACAATACTGTAACATGATGACATGTTTAGAACAAGTCAGATAAGTTTTCACAGCAATGTTAATCATGCTGGGCAAAGGGAGAGAGTGAAGGGTGAAAAATGAAATGTTTCACTAAATGTACACCTCCAAGGGGCCTGGCAAATCTACTCTGTCCATTCAATGTTATCAGTGGTCACTGGTAAAGACATCTGAGAAAGACAATTGTTCTGTACTCGATTTCTTATATTGAAACATTCCTGGTAAGTCTTTTCCAAGCATAAAACATATGTCTTATGACTGTGCACTTTTAAGCACATTATCAGTTCAGGCAAAGTGAAATAGAAGAGTTGCAACTTGTCTACAGAATGAGTGTCTCATTTGCATTTGAAAAGAACAGTTTGCTCCCTCATACATGGCATGACTTGAAAGAAGCTTTAACCAGCTAGTAAAGAAATTCTGAAAACGACTTTCTAAATTAATTTATTCGATTTGGAGTGCAACACACCAAAAATTATTTAAGGAACTTAATTGGAAAATGATTTAATATATTAAAGTAATTCCTGATTTTCCAAAGCATTTAACTTTTAAATTAAATCTGGCCACTATCTCAAGAATGATGAGTGAAATGTGTATTCAAGTCATTACCTTCCTTCTGAAGCTTTAAATCATTGATAGGTTTAATAACGTTTGTCCAGTTTCACTGCCAAACAGGTCTTCAAACACTTTGGTTCTTATGGCATTAATATCAGCCCAAGCTTTTCACGTGGCAACATTTCACTGTTACAATTTACAAAACTGACAATAGAGAAAATAACAGCAAACCACAGATGAAAAGTAGCAGTAGCCTCATGATTACTCAGAGCACTAAGAGAAAATTAATGAACACATAAATGCTCCTTTGCATTTGAACTCTTCCTGCTGAACCAAGTTCACTCCTGGCACAAACTTCCAAAATATAGCGCACGTTTGCCAGATGCTGCAAAATAGTTACTTAAAACAACGCTAACAGTCATACCTCTGGGATCTCTCTTGAAATATCCTGGGGCATCCACCACAAAGGGCCCGATTTATCCCTGGATTCTATAACTCCATTGAGTATATGTGAAATGCAGCCAGGATGAATTTGGTCCTTTCTGTTGTGATTGGTAGATGCGACCATGTGGGAAACCTTTCCTGAAAACTGAGAGGGCTTCACCCGGGCGCCGCAGCCTCCGCGCCTCAGCACAAGCACACTCTATTTTGCTGTTTATCTCTGAATCGAGGCAGCTGCCCGGGATGAAAGGGACGGCTCGGAACGTCTCTCTGACACGTGAGACCGTCACGACAATAGCGGGGCGCGGGACCGGGCTGTCCGCCTTGCCGGGCCGGGCCGGGCCGGGCTGGGCCGGGGCCACTCCTCCGCGACAGAGCCCCGCCGGCCACCGCGCCCCGCCGCCGCCCTCCGCACCCGCGGCCGGCCCCGCGGAGCCTGCGCACGGCGGGGCTTGCGCTGCGAAAAGCCATCTGCTGCTGCTGCTGCTGCTGCTGCTGCCCGCCACGGGCTGCCACGGCGGGCTTCCAAACAAGAGCCCGAGCGCGCAGGTTTGAACACATCGCTCTCTCCCGGCTTGCTCCCCTTGGCCGGGCTGTGCTCGGGGTAACTCGCATTTTCCGATCATTTCCTGCGGCCAGCGTTTTATTCACGTGCAAAGCCCATTCCGTAGCAGCAGAGAAAGTGCAGTTCATACATAAAGCACCAGCTGGCTCAGGCTACAGCGGCAGTAACAATGCAGGAACCCCAGCCCCCTTTCTCGGCAGCAAAAGTCACGCAAAGTGCTCCGGGATCGCAGCACCAAACTCTCGGAACCGGACACAGGATTAGGGCTAAGCGCATGTATCCTCTGCGGTTCCTCCTTCCCCAAGGCTCGGGGACCTAAAACTTAGCTCTCCTCAGATACTGACCCTATTTGCAGAGGTTTAATCAAGTTACAGAGAAATTGGGAAGGCAGTTGCACAGCCGGGACAAAGTGGAGCCGATGTTCTAAACCGACTAGTAAACACCATGCAGACTTATTATGCACACAGAGAAATGTGTATGCCTGTGTGTGCGTGTGTGTATACACACAAATATGTCACACACACACACACACACACACACAAACGTGCTTTTCGGCTCTTTGACACATGAACTGCGGGGCAGAGTTTCTGCCGGTTTGTGGCGGACGCGGTCTTGCTCATTAATAAGCGCCCTGGAAATTCAAGTCCCCCGCACTAACATCCCCGTCCACGCCGTTTCTCCGAAAAGATGTTATGGAAAATGCCTCCCCCCCCCCCCCCCCCCGCTCCAGCCGCCCGCCCCCAGACTACTCCGGGGGTTTAATTTGGGGTGCCTGCGGGGGAGCCGCTGTGTGTCCCGGCGGCACCGCTCCGCGGCGGGCGGCACTGCGCTCCCCAAACCCCAAAGCCCGGCAAGTGCCGCTGCCCTCCCTCTGCCTCGCCGGGGAACTTGGTGCGCGGCTCGCCAGAGCGCAGCGCCCGCTCATGCAACGCGCCGCGACAACAGCACACACCGACAGCACAGATAAAACACCTCGGACGACACAAAACACGAGTCACCTTGTTGCAATAGTAGGGGTCCAGGCAGGGGGAAGGTCCCAAACAAGGCGTATCAGGAGCGGCTGCAGGCTGAGGAGGTGGTGAATAAAATCTTACGTCCATTTCACTAAAACATCAAGCAAACTCCTTTCCTTTTCTTTTGGTCGTTAATGTAGGTGCAAAAAGGGGGGTGTGAGAGAGTGTGTGTGTGTGAGTGTGTGTGTGAGAGAGAGAGAGAGGGAAGGGGGGGGGACACACAAGATTGAGAAGAATAAAAAAAGAGGTGCCTGACTTCAGTAGTCAAACACCTTCCCTGCCTCACATCCGTTTGTGGTTTGTAAAGAGAGAGAGAGGAGAGGAAAAAAAAAATCTCTTCCAAAAAAGCACCGGTCTGCAGATGTCTGCAAGAGAACCCACGAACCCTCCTTCTTCTACGGCAGGGCAGGTAACTTCGAGTACTTATTGTTTTCCCCGCGCATCGGCACCGGGGCGCTCGCTCCGTGCGTGCCGCTCTTTATGGGAGTCTCGGAGTTGGTTCGCTTCTCCCTCCCTCCCTCTCGCTCGCTCCCTCTGTTCTTTTCCCGTTCTTTCTTTCTTTCTTTCTTTCCTTTTCTTTTTCTCTCTGTTTTTTTTTTCTTTTATTAATATTGTTATTATTTATTTGCTTTGGTTTGGTGGAGTTGTATTTTGGTCCCCCACCACACCGAGGGCCTTGGGGGGGCTCAGGGGGAGGTGGCGACAGCAGCCGGGCCCCCCGCGCACCCCCGGGGGGAGCGGGGCGCCCAGGCGCTGGAACGGCCGCCCCGAGCCGCTCGGCTCTGCTCGGCTCGGCTCGGCTCGGCCCGGCCCGGCCCGGCCGGGCTGGGTTGGGCTGGCGGCGGCAGGGGACGCACCGCGCTCCTCCGCGGAGCCGCCGCTCCGAGTGTGCCTCACACAAAGGGGCCGGCGAAGGAAGAGCCATTTGCGGCCGCCGGGGCCCGGAGCCGCGGAGAGGGGGCGCTCCCGCGCCCGCCATCCCGCCGCCGTCCCCGCCCTCGCGCAGCGCCCTGCGCCCGGCCCCCGGCGCCGCCCGGCCCCCGCCCGTTACTATGGCACCCCCTCCGCGCCGCGGGGCCGGACCGGGCCGCAGGGCGGCGGGGAGAGGGCTCGGTGCGCTGCCTGGGGTGGGTCGGGCTCAGAGTGCCGGTGTGGCCGCGGGCAGGTCTCTTGAGGTGCCTCTGTGAGACCCTTGGACCCATTTCCGCGGACCTTTGGCAAAGTTGGGGCGACCCCTCTGCCCTGGCAGCCCTCTGAGGCTGGTGTGGGTCGCGCTGTCAGCGGAGCCTTCGTCTCCAGTCCCGGCGGAGTGGAAGCTATCGCCCAGAGTTTGTGGTGACACACATAGGCTGTGATCCATGAGCGTGTCCCAGAAAACAGGAAACAAGTTGAAAGTAAAGCGCACCCGTGAAATATTTCGTCATCTGGGGTGTACCCCAGTAATGGTGATGCCCAGGCCTGGGCGCACAGGGTAGCACCAGGCACAGGATGAAGGAGGACATTTGAGGAGATGGCCTAACTGTGAGGGGAGGAAGGAAGGACAAGCGGATGGGGTAGGGAAAATTAGGAGGAGCTCAATTAGGAGCAAACAAGGGTGCTGACAAAGGAAAGTTCGGAATCCAGTGGGATGCGGGAGAGGGATTGATGAGCATAACAAGGTTTAACAGGCAAAAACAATGAAAGAAAAGGTGACTTCAAGACACCATGAGCAATCCCACTGGGTTTCCTGCTGAGTCTTCAGTAGTCTTAATCAGGGCAGAAAGGATGGAAGAGAAAGAATACAGGAAGGACACTATGCTGAGCTTAGATAATGCCCAACAGAGGAATTATGTTATGAAAAGAAAGGAATGTCTTTTCTTCTTTAAATAAAAACGAATTACTGAGTGCCACACAAACAAGCTGAGATTATGATGATTAACAGGAATGGTTACATTTATCAATACTCATGAACATTTCCATCACAAACCAGTTAGAATCTTAGAAGATTTGTAGTGCATGTTGCCACAAAAAACTGTCTTCTCATCACTGAAAAAAAATTCTGCGGTAAAGATTTCTAGGCAACTCAGTATTGTGGGGGAGCAATTCACAAATTTCAGGTGAAAAAATCACTGTTTGTGTGAGGATATACACATACATATACGAAGATATATAATCTGCACCTCAGATATTTTGATACTGTAGAGTCCTTCAGGATTGTGTTAAGTCATGACTTTCTTCCATGTCTAACAACCTGCTTTCATTAAAGCTTCATTATCTGAAAAAAATACCTAAGTAATGCAAATGAAACTCTAGAGAAAACAGGTTTGAAGCAATATTCCTATTTCAGGATTATTTGATCAAAAACATCTCTGAAGATACTTGTTGTCAGTTCAACAGAATTTAAGTTTGATGGCAATAAATGTGTTTCTTAAACGTGAAATTACAAAAGGATCTCAGTTGCTTTCTTTTTAATAATGTTTGAAACCCTTCTGGCCTTGGAGAAAAGCTTGAAAACATGACCTAGAAACAGCTCCAGAAAGCAAAGGAAAGGACATTAACATATTAAAAAAGAAAAAAAAAACACAAAAAACCCAAACCCTCATGATTTTTGGCATCTGACTCATTATTTTACATGTTTGGGATTAGACATTTTGAAAGTTAAAAAATCCTAAAAAAGATTTTCCTTTGCAAGAGATGTACTTGACGCTTGACAGATATATCACTGCTGCAAATGGCTGATATGTGGACCATAATTTGACAAAGTGAATGGGAGACAGATTGCAAGCTCCGTATTGAAAAGCTGCTGTTGAGAAACTTGTTATTCATGGACAGTGGATTAGTTTGCAGCCTGTTGTGGGGAGAGGTGGTAGAGATACAGCAATTCGAGATGAGCTGTTCTAGGCAACCAGTGTGTGCAGGTGCATACAAGTGCATGCAGGTACAGAAATGCAGAGCTGGACATGTCAATACCAGAATGACTAGAGTTCTGATAATAAAAAGTAGAGAATTGGCTTTTTATTTATGTGAAATATTACTGGCTGCTGCCTTAGGAAGGGCTTCGGGTTCCTCGGAGTCTGTAGGAGTTTACAACTGTACCATTTGCTTTGCGCAGCACTTCAAGTTATTTTCAGTACTTAATGATGCAGGCCCTGAGAGTTATAAAATTTTTGCTGCTACTTACAGAGATGATTTAATCATCAAGATGGTAAAACACCTGAGATTTGTGGCGGTTATCTGTACAGTTGGTAAAAATTAAAGAGCTAAATATATATATTATTCTGTTAGAACATTCTTTTGTTTTGTAGGGAACATGTTCTCTAGGGTATTCAGAATAATGCGTTTGTGGAGACCAGAACTAAAATTGTTAATAATATTGTAGGTTTTGCCTTTATGGACTGAGAAAGCAAGGGCCTTTGCAGGATAATTCAATGGTATATCAAACTTGGCCACTTTAGCTCATGGAAGTTCATTTTCCAGAAAAAAAAAAAAAAAGTTGAAACAGATTTAAAAGAATGAATCAATTTTTAGAAGCTCAAAAGGAAGGAACATTTGTTCAGAAGGGCACTGAGTTTTTAAAGCCATTCAACATTCAAGTGAATGTCCCCAAAATAGTCTTGAAAGAGGTTGCTATACCAGCATATGAGAAGAGTGTTATTGCCTTTCTCATATAAATAGGAACAAATGCCTTGAGGAACATGATCTTTATCTGCCAATACTAAAAAAGTTATTCTTTTAAATGCTGTCTGCTGGAGTTAGACTGTGCAGTGTAAATACTCTCCATGCAATGGAGAGCTCGTATGGCATTCCTTGCCAAACAGCATTGTGAATGCAAGAGGTTTATGCAGCAGACTGGAGAACTGAGAAGGTCATTAGATGGACAAACCATAAATGGATCAGTAACTCCTCTGGGCTGAAAATAGCTGGAAGTGGAGGACATGGAAGTGGGTAATGGCAGTATTTGCCCTCAGTTTGGGCTGTCACGTCTAGAGCCGTCATTGGAGGCAGAGTACTGCTGGGACACCCCCTCGGTCTGAGCCAGTCTGGCCATTGGCACAGTCTCATTTGAGAATGCACAGTCTTTTCAGTGGCCAGGTGAACAGAATTCAGTGGAACAAGTAACTGTGTCTGATATGACAGATTATTTTCTTGTGTATTGTACTGTCTGGCCCAGCTGGTCTGTCTAGTGTGTTGGGGGGCCATCAGCAGACATAACTAATGTTCTCAGCCAAAGAGAAATAAAGTATTTTAGTTTAAAAAACAACAGTCCAACATCTTTTTGTTTAAATTTCACACATATATACCCAGTTTTATTTGAGAGCACTAGATATCTGATAATCTATTACAAAGAGCAGACTTCCTGGTCTTCCTAGAAAGAAGGAAATGTGAGACTGTGATGATGGCTTAGTATTTATTATACTTAGGCTAGGCACCACAAGAATCCCTTCATGAGGCTGGCTCTTCTTTAAAGAAAAGTTTTCTGCTGCGTATTTTTAAAAAGAGTTGGATTGGAAAATCATTTTGCTTCTTTCTTTGTGCACTGTACTTTGGTAGCCAGGAGGAACAGATAAGCTATAAGGGAACCAATGAGATTTTGCTAAGAAAATACCTCCTGCTGAAATTTTTGATTTACTGACTAACTCACAGGACTGTTTACCATTCATAACGAAGGTCAATGCTCATCCATATCTAGATAGTAGTTAATTAAATAATAATAGGACAAAGGGTCTGTCTCTTTTGTGTGGATGTCTTGTTTCATGTTCTTAATTTGGATATGACACTTGGATCTGGGAAGATGCAAATGATAATATATTAAGATTGCAGAATATTTTAAACAATGTAATTAATCTGGTTGTTTCATCAGAATGAACTCAAATCCTTTAAGAAATTGATTCGTTTTAAATGTTGACATTCTGTGTATGCATTCATAGGTGAGCATAAATCAATGTGAAAAAAGAGATCTTCAATACAGTATAAAAACTTAATAGGTATAATATATGTTTCAGAGTATTTAAACAGCTTGTAGGGCTACCTGATAGTGTGTCAAACAAAGTGTTATCAAATGTGTAATGAAGGAGATAGCTATTTTATTATTTTAGCTATTGCTCCTGTCCTATTTAATTTGTTTGTGGTGAAAATGATGGGCCCCAAATTATCACACTTGTATGAAAATAAATTGCTCTCTATAAGGAAGTACAAATCACTTCTAAAAGTTAAAGAAAGCCCCTGACTTCCCTTTGCTACAAAGCAGAGAGAAAACCTGAGTATTGCCATATCTTCTTAATCTAAAAAATGATCCACAATTTAACACTGGAGGAGGAATTGACACATGGGTTGAAGCCGAACTGTGTTTTGCATCTCAGAAAAGATTCTTACAACTCATCTACCATTGCCCCCAGTAGGAATTAAGCACAAAATATCTCACAGAATCAAGAACTTAAATTACCATGAAAGAAATATAAAAATGTAAAATTCACCTTGCATATTTGCAGCTTTGATCCATTCCCATATGTCTCAAAGACACTGCCAGCTGGTTCAGTTCAAATTACCAAATTAAATGTGGCCTTGCAGACATGGGGAAGGTAGGTCAGTCTCAAAAGCAAACATTTTACTGGGCTTTAGATTATTTCTTGTGGTCAGAGAAACAAAGGGAAACATGAAGTTCCTTTTATTCTTTTCCTGTATTTTCTGTCTTATCAAGGTTTTTATATGAGCTACACTGTCCACATGGTATGAAGGAAGGAAGGCTCAAAAATACATCACCGTGTGATGTATGCTAGTTCTCAATTGCAAGATATACTCAACTGCTAAGGTTGCCAATTTTCCACTCTTCCACTTATCTTGTTAGATCAATCATGAAACATCCAGAAGTATAAGGAATCAGGAATTTTTGGTTTCATGCTGTTTTTTTTTCTGAAGTGTACTGGAGACCTGTACATAGAGTTCAGTAACTTAGATTTTTCAAAGGAAACTTATGTTTTCAACAATTTATTTGGCAGTTTAAAAGCTGTCTAAAGGCATTTTGGTTTCTCCAAAAATTGAAGATTCGTATAAGTTGTATAAATGTTATCTGGAGACTGCATCATATACAGACGTCTTGAGAACAAACCTGTATTCATAGTTGGTACCATTAATAATACCCATCTGTATTTGCAGGTATTTTACAAATGTACATATTAATATGTCAGCTGAATAGGCAGGAGAAAGAAAAGACCGAACTAGTCACGAGCAGAGGAAGAGTCTTTATCAGCAGTTTCTCCATAGCATTACACAGGGAATTCTCATCTGCAAGACAGATGATAAGCAGGTGATTAATCAGTTTTAAATTCAGAGCAATGATGTCATCATTGTCCTATTTGATGAACCTCCAAACAGAGCTGAATTGCCCCTGCATGAGCTCCCCTGACATGAAGGGATCATTACAGATTTACTTAAAACTTACAAACTTACTTTTCTGTTTCAGATCTCTTTTACTAGAGAAGATTCTAATTTTTGTTTATATTCACAAGGTCTCTGTGAAGAGAGGGGTGTTTCTTAAATCCCTAGGCGAGGTAGGTGTTTCAACAGGAGGCTCCCACCCCAAAGCAGTGGGGCAAAAAAGTAGTCTAAGTACATTCTTTTACATGGGTTTAATTAGTAGTTTAATTCAAGCTCAGAATTACAGATGTTAATAGAGAGAGGGGTCCAAACTCTATTCTCTCTGAATACATATAAGTATAGTAAAGTTCACAGAGTAAAAAGAAAAATTTAGGGCTAGAAGGTATTACATTTATCTATTATCCCATTTTAATTTTTTAGGTAGAGAAAATAAAATTACTTGCTTGAATTTATTTTTCTCCCTTTGGGATTCATGATTGCTGTCATAAAAGCACCATACAGTTGGCACAGTTGGCATTTCAAGTGCAAAATGTTGTGACTGAGGTATAGTAAAAGTATATTGGGGGTTTCCATTAGAGCTTCCTGTTGTAGCAAATAAATTCCATCCCATTCACACTTGATAGGCTGAAACAGATATGCCATCTGCATGTCATCTGCAGTCAGTTTTCAAGGGGCATGATAAACTGTTAGGACTGCTGACTTGGGAGCAAAATTTACTTCTTTGCTGAGATTTTGGCATTTTTCTGGTGGATCTCGAGGAACTTCATATCCCCTTCCTTATAACTGTTATGGGGGTTTTTTTTCTCTATGGAGTTGTCACTCTTAAGTCTAATAAAAACTCTCTGTCTTCCTTTTCTGGGCTTTCTAGTTTGACAGTTTCATGTTATAACTTTGTTCCACAATAAAAATAAAAAAGCTCTGGGTGTTAAGGAAGTCCTTGGAAAACTGTAAGTGATAGAGTCAGCATTTACAGAATATATCACAACAGGTCTGACTGACCTTGGCAGCAATAGGAGATCACCATTTCTCATGGATGAGCTTTTCTTGAATGTCTGTCTTCTATGCTGTATAAGGCAGAAATACCTTTTCTGGGTCAAGGCTACTGCTTTCTGTTTCTCTTGCTCTTTAAAAGAGATTGTCTACTACTGTCAAGTATTATCTGTTTAAGGAATTTCTCTCAATCCCCTGTGTCTTGTTCTATGGTATCTTAAGATAAATCTACATCACTGGTATTATTTTATAGTCTTACACTCTTTTGTTGAGGATTATTTGTTTGAGGATTTTGAATGGTTTACTTTTATCACAGTCAGACTGCAAAGATTAATGTTTGTGGATGTCCTCCAAATTATCTCCCTTTACTCTGGCTACCAGAGTGTAATCAACACTGTTTTTTGTTGGAATGGCCGTTGTCCTTTTTTTTTTTCAGCAGTTGGCAGGAGTACCAGTTGGAGGGAATGAATCGTCTACGTTGGCTGTTCATCTTTAAAAATTGACTCTTCAGTAGCATGTGTAAGTATGACAGAATTAAATATACATATTTATCAGAATATATGAAGCACGTGGAGGGGAACTCCCAGGCCCCATTTGAAATTATCAAGTTTCTAACAATTTGTTGAATGCATATAGATTTATAATAGCTGCGTGGAGACAGTTGCCTGACTGCATAATACGCTGATAATTAAGCAAAAACAAATAATAATTTGAAATAAAAGAGAAGGAAAAGAAACTCAAACTCGTTTACAGTTGTAGAATGTAGGAAAAAACCACTCCACCATCCTCCTAAGATACCCTCCCCCTCCTTCAAGCAGTGGAATTTCCCTGCTTGAAGTTATCTTGAGAAGACACAATTTGCAATTTGCCCAAGAGGTCAGCAGGCCCAAACTACTGTACCACAGTGTAGGAGATGGTTTCAAGGCTGACAGCCCCCTGAAAGGAGGATCTGCAAGCATCTTACTTTCTTTTGAATAAAGTGTGACCTCCACTGGTCGTTGTCGTATTCAGGAAAAGGGGAAAAAGTCCATCATGGAAGAAGGCCCCAAGGCATTTTGTGGCACAAAATCTTGCAGTGTCAACTGCAAGGTTCCTACTTAGTTCACTGGAGAAATATGTAATAGATATTTACATATGTTTAAGTGGAGCTGCAGGAGGGCAGGGAGAGAGCTGAAGCATGTGCTTGCACTTGCTGAGAGTCATGCACGTCTTACATCTGCCTGCCTGTCTCTCGCGAGCGTGATTTGTAAGGTATGTGTTGAAAAATAAAAGAAAGAATATTTGGTTGCCAAGACTAATACATACATACTTTTCCTTTATTTTTCTCACATCTGTGTTTCTGTAATCATTTTAAAAAATGAAATTATTTAAAAAAAACAAACAAACAAACAATAAACCCCCCCACGCACCCGCCCAGACTGTCCAGGGCAGAATTCAATCCACAAAGAGAATGCAAACTGAAATAACCTTAAAATAGAAAGTACCTTTAAGGACAAATGTAACATAAAGAAGAGGTTTAAGGAACCTGAGCACAAGTCATTTTTGCTACAATACATAGCCACACTGAAGAGAGTAAAGGGTAGGAAGACACAATATTTCTGAATTTCCATGCCTTTGGGTTTAAGTCAGACCCTTAACCTTATTTGAATATAGTATTTTTTTGGTTTAATACATTTCATACAGAATGTATAAAGAAGATTTAATAACTGTCTCTTAGCTGTGGTTTATCTCTACCTCAGAGAAAGCTAAAATGAGTTTCTAGTGAAATGGCTGAAAGAGCATACACAGTAAGTCTTATATCAAATTGTTTCCAGTCTTGCTGATTTGTAAAAGAATTTTTAGAAAGATTCTGGCTTTCTATATAGAATGTTAAAGTTTGACTCTGTGCCCAAAATTTATAGGAGCGAACCACAAAAAACCAGTGGAAGTCTAGCTTGACATGTTCTGTTTTTTGAAACTTCTGAGATTACTTTGCTATAACATGGAATTTGTGCTAGTATTTAACCCAAGTTTTACTCTCGAAAATTGTATTATAGTGTATTACATATTTCTGGCTGTAATAGCAATTAAATATCTTGGAAGAAATTAATCAAATCCCCAGGCTTCTCTATCTTTTTTGTTTTTCTCTTTCAGAAGTGCATCACAGATAAAGGACTAACTTTGTGAACAGACTCCTGCAGTAAAAAGGACAAAAATGAACAATTCTTATGTAATTAGTCACCCGACATAAGTGTTCCAGGATAAGATTTTCTGAAGTATCATAGCAGAAATATAAATGGAATACTTAGAGTTGCTGTTGTCAGCTGTTAAAAATGGAAGGATTTCTGCAGCATTTCAGGTTCTCTGGATAGTTGTACATCAAACTAAGGTATTCTCGTGGCATTGAACTGCACAAGGGTAGTTATCTGCTTTCCTCCTGCCCCAGAAGGCAAACAGCCCACTGGCACCAATTTAAGGCAACAAAATCAGGCTGGACCAGGCTTGTGTTTGCCCTGCTTCCCTAGACTTTTGTCTGTCTTAGGTGGTATAAAGGCATTTCTTCCATTTGAATGTGCTGCAGTGGTTATTCAAATAAATGCAGTTTCCTAACATTCCAGCTCAAACACTGAAGTGCAATAAACCTGAGCTGACTGGGCATCAAAAGGCATGAGCCAGCAGTGTTAATACAATCAGTCTCATGAGATCACTACTGCTGAAAACTGGGACTACAGCCCATGGGTATTATTGTGTCTCTTCCATCAGCTTCTCAAAGTGCTCTCCATGCACACCCAAAAAGGCCAGAGAATTTCTCCCTTAACCTATTGGAAATAAATTTGTTGAGGTACACATATTTTCACACACAGCTTAAGGGATATGCTCCCAAAATTACTAGCATTGCTTTTAAGTCAGGAGTTAGTGCAGGCACAGCACCCAGGTGTAGGGTGTTATTACTGGTTCTGCTTTGGAAACATACTCAAGTGTGCCTCTCTACCATCTGGCATTTCTGATTCAGGAGAATATCTATATTTTCTTGTCTTCCTTGAACATTAAAATCAAGGGTCAAGGTCTGCTTTTTTCTTTTGTACAGTTTGGCTCATTTGGGAGTTGTTCCTAACATAATAAAGCTGTGGTTTTGCAGTAGGCTTCAGCAAATTTAAATCTGTGCTGCTGCTGAAGATGGTGGTACAGGTCTCTTTCCCTTCCTGCTCCAGCTGCATATTCTGCTGTCTACCTAGGGAGAATGAGCATACTTCTGACTTCAAGGTCAGCTGTGTCAGGAACCATCTGAAAATTAGTGTGTGGCTCAGATCTTAGGTGGATCATTTTGTATTTTTGATCTGGCTGACTCTGAGGCAGCATGAGAACTGATGATGAAATGAGAGGAGTATTTACCTAGGTCTGAGGAGAGGAGGGGGAGGGAGGTGGTGAGTGGGCCTGCCTCTTGGCACACTCCATACTTAGGGTAGCTTAAGTCAATAATGAAACAGCACCTAAGAGTCTGCTTGCTAAACTCAGAGGTGCTTCTGGTATTAGGGAAGACCAAACACTGGAAAATTCCAACGCTTTTTTTTTTTTTTACTTTCTGTATAGTGTAATTTCCAGAGAGCTTGAAGCAGAGACATCATGCAGGAAAAATAAATAGTGGATATCAAGTGGAACAATAGTAAGAGTTAGACACCTCACATAGACCCAGTTTTCCAATTTTTTTTCCATATAGCTCCACTAGTTTTCTCTAAAATGTTCTGTGGTAGGGAGAATGTTGAAAATACTCTGAAACACACCAAAAATTATCAAAAATGTACACACAATTCATAAGCTTCAACTGGGATGAAAACTTATTGAAATAAAGTTTTTACTAACCTTTTTTAAGCAATTCAATCCTTCATCCTGCAATTCCTACCTAGCCAGGCCCATGAAACCTGTGGTATTGGAGAGGAAGTGATGCCTCAAAGTTACTCAACATATGAGTTGGGAAGGGAGCAGGGGGACTGTGAGGGGAAAGGAGGGGGAGTGGGCGAAACACGGATGGATGGATCTGAGATTATGCTGCAGCTGAGACTGAAATAAAATTTCACCTTAAAATGGGGTGGCTGCTGCTTCTATGAAAGTCTTGGGGATAATTCATCTACCACTTGATAAATTGGCAGGGTTTCTTTCCAGGTTCTCTTTTCTATTCTCCTTTATGCTTTGTATGTGTATACATGTGTGTGAGGTATGTGTATGTAATTTTCAAGAGATCTGGCCCTTTCTTTCTCCTTGGCTAACTTCTGAAATAGAGCTGTCAGGATGATTCCAGCATTTGGAGCCATATTCTTCCTGACAGAATATAACTCTTTTTCACAGTTTTCCTTTTTTATGGCCTGAAGTCAATGGGAATATTCAATGCAACCTAAGGTCAGGTTCCTGAATTTTAACACAATTTCCCATGAGAACTAGAAGAACGAAAATTCCTTTAAGACAGGGAAGAAAAAGTAGAACAGTAATGTCAGGACAAAACACTTGTTATGTGGCTTTAAAAAAGCAGCTTGAAGAGATTTCAGATCTAGGGGGAGGTGAGCTTCATTTGATCTGTCCAGGAATTTAACAGCAGTCACAGAGTTATCAGTCACTTGTACAAAAGGGCTGAACTCTCATAGCAACTGGCTGTGCTAGCAGTCCTGAAATTCAGTAGGCCAGCTGCAAGAAAATTCATCAAGTTAAGTAATTTAAAAAATGTATTGAAATACAGCATATGCAGTCATATAAAACTATATGATGTGGCAGGTTTTTAAGCAATGCCTTAGCAATATGGCTGTATGTATAGCCATGGGCTAGACAGAAATACAACCACTCTTTTCTAGAAGATAGAAAAAGGGTTGGTTATGAGCTGAACAGGTTTGACTGATTCATTTATGTCTGATCAGTGACATTATTTGATGCCTTGGAAGGCAGATGTTGTGCACATTCAGTCAACAAAAAATTTTGTAAGACTGAAAAGAAATGGTGATGTTAATTTATTTTCTGCAAAGGATGAGGTTTCATGCCTGTGCCCACCTCCACAGAGTGGAAATTCACAGAGACCTAGTTTTTATCTAGGCAGAGTTTCTCATATATCAGTGGAAATTTTAGATCTCTCTAATATCAGTTGTACTTTGAAAAATCTAAATTTTCTTGTTTTACATATTTCTGATGTCAGGTCTTACATCTCTTTGAAGATGTAAGGTGCTGTGTATATATATATAAATCATCAATTTCATATGAGTTTGGATGTGCTAAGAATGCAGTACATTTCATTGGTGATAAAGCATCATGATCAATGAAGAATCTGAATATTCAAGTTAGAAGAGAGTATTTTATTTTTATAATGTCCCTGTATATGTTCCATTAAGAAAGACAAAATATGTTTTATTAATGTAGTATTTCAAGCTCTTTTTGCTTCCTGAAATGTCAGCTGTCAAACTTTGTTCCCATCCTTGAGAACAACTAAAAAGTGAGACACTTTTCTGTTTGGAGGCACTTGCCTTCCAGTAATAAACCTATCTTACCAATGGTTTAAAAAAAAGGTTTTAAATTAAAACATTGGCTAAAAATGATATCTTATGATATCTTTTGATGTAGAATTGCAGAGATTAAGATAAACTCCACAGAGTAAAACATGCTGTAGGTAAGAGAAGTGGAAGCAGTCTGGCCTGTGGCAAGATGAACTACAAAAAACCCAGTTTATAAATCCAGTTTATAAATGATGAACAGTCCAATTACATTTAGGTTTTTTTATGGAAAACCTGTTCTGCAGAATATTTAAAGTCTTGAATGTGCCTCTGTTGATTTTGTGCTTTCTCTTAATTTTTTTAGTCTTTCCATAAAAGTTGTTTCTATTCTGTTTTCAGCCTGCTTCATGTTCCCTTGTCTTACCTCTCTATCCCTTTCCCCCTCCTCCACATCCTTTCTCTCTTTCTCATGTAATCTCAGAGCTGTTAGAAAAAATGCTGCTTTTTTTTCTGCGTAATGTTCTTCAGCTTTAGCAATTTTCCATTTCACTTCTTTCTTGTTATACTTTTTCCATTTAATATTATGGGAGAAAGATCATTCTATTTTAAGTTGAGCCAAATACACCATCACGATGTTTTGGCCCACGTTAGTTTTTTTCTTTTTTTTTTTTTTTTCAAATATAAAGTTTATTTGCAGTTTCCAGTGCTCTCCATTTGACTGCTATTAAAGGAGGAGGAAGGGAATAAAAGATCTTACCTTTTACCATCAGCAGAAGGGGTATCTTTACAAATGTCATTGTTTCTCGTCCCTGGTTTGTTGTGTATTTGTAGTAGCAAGGAAGCTCTGCTGGATTGTTTACACATCCTGAGTCTCACAATAAGATAACTTGTTTGTAGGATGACATTGATCTGGAGTTAAAATGATTACAGTGTATTTTAGGGGATGATGCACACTGAATGAGTTCTAAGAAGGGAAATAAGTTGAATTATGTACTACAAAAATTTGTTAGGACAGTGTGGTGTTGTGTGGGCAGCTGTGCATTATAAGAGCTGGTTTGGAGGTAGAATGCAAGTGATTTTGAGTCCAGGATTTTTGAAATCAGAGAAGCTTTTATCAAAGGAGCACCTTCTACTACTGAAATAAACTATTTTCAGAGTAAATGAAGACTGAAGGAAACAGGATGATTAATTTTACTACTGATTTCTGTTTATTGCTGCAGAAAGCATCTCTTTGCCTTTAATCCATGACTGTTCTGTCCTAGCTGATACTTTTTTAGAGTTTATATAAAAAGGCTATATAAAATTGGACAAAAATGATGACACCACTTATGGTACAAGAAAGCTGGCAAATAACTATAGTGCCACAGCATTTAGGCACCATGGTGATAGGTGCCTTAGAGATACATGCAAGAGAGACAAACAGAATGAGTCAACGTATTGCCCAATTTGCATAATTTTTTTCATAAAATAACTTGCAGTGTTTGAGAAAGAAAATAAATATTTGGTGTTTGGGTTGCTATGGTGCTGTAGTAGTGAAAAAAGCAAAACTATGAACAAACAGTCTATGCTGCATTATGAGTTTACTAAGCAGACAGGCTTCTAAGTAACAAAGTGAATATGAAAAAAGGCTTTAATTATGTAGAGGTTAGTTGTGATAACAGCTAGTGTAATGACAGCTTTTTCTGTCCTCTTCACTTAGGAAGATCTTAAACACTGATTTCAAGAAACTCTGAAGAGGGTTGTGCAGCAAGTGCTCTGAATTTCCGTATTTACTCCTTACTTTGATTTACTTCTTTGGACTTAGTGATAGAAACAGCAGGTTTTGTCAGCCTCTGAGAGCATTTCCTGATTTTCCTTTCAGTTGGGATGAACTGAACTGAACTCATATTTTACTGTGCTTCTTTTTAATTCAGAAGCATTTTTAAAAGATTTTTCAATCCAAGGGGGATGAGTGCTCTCTTTTGCATGCTCTTCTACACTAACATCTGGTTTCAGCAGACCTCTTAAACACATGCCTAAGTGCATCCTTAAATATTTGGTTGGTCATATGCCTAAAGGAGTACAGTAGTCACATTAAAGAGCAGGATATTCTTAAGTGCTTTTTTGAATAGAGACCTAAATGGGAATGAAAAGACAAGTATGTACTTTTAATTGCGTGCATTAATTAGCCAAGTATATGTTTCATTTACTAACATTATCTTTTGTAGTTATATAACTTTAAAGAATACAGAAAAGTACTTAATCCAAATTTTGTTCAATAGATGTGTTTTAATAAGTATACTTACCCGCAGTATAATTTAGCTGCAAAGGTGTTGATAAAGAATAAATGGTTGCTTCCATTCAGCACACATATTTTTCTAGTAAATGAACTTGCAATACTGAGAAAAGGGTTTAGGGGGGATAAAGAAGAAAGAAACTTGAGAAATTCATGGTAACGTTTTGGAAGGTGCATCAAAGTTTAAGAATTTTGTGCCTTTGCTACAGTGTAATTATTTTTCAATTGTTGCTTCTGACTGAGCAGGCAATAACCTAGATTTTTCTGTTAGGCATGAATGAATGAGCAAATTTAAGAATTAAGTACCCAAACAGAATAAACATGTAATTTTGTAGTTTATTAAACATTTGGCTCTGATAATGCAGCCCAAGAAAGTCATATTCTTTTCTAATGAGTGAATGGCTTGAAATGTGTTCTGTATCACAGTCTGAAAAAAGTAGTTACTTTATCTAATTGGCAATCCTTTTGCTAGGAGCAAGGGGAAGAAATTTAGGGATGAGTTAACATATCCAGCCCTCTTATGGAACTGCATGTTACTCTTAGAGGGGAAGGAAAAATACTGAGCAGAAATGATAGCAAAATTAGACATCAGTATTACACTAGAATTATTCAAATTTAAGCTCAATAGAATAGTCACCTGAAAAATATTTTTTTAACTCTGCTTAACTTTTTCTGAAAACTCAAGAATGGTATATTTTACAATATTTTTCCTTGCAGATAACTTTAAATGAAAGAAAGCTATTCCCCAAATGCATACTTGTGTAAGCATTTGGAATGCAGTGTGTGTTTTCATTATGACTGAACAATTTCAGCTGTGAGCAACTATACAGCAAGAAGAAGAAAAAATGCATCTTTGGAGGTAAATCAAATTGCAGTACCCAAAGAATTGGGATCTGTCTTTTATAATTTAGACATGAGAAAACTAAAGTAAAAATAAAAGTTCAAACTAGATTCTCCACTGCTTTCAAATGCCTTCATAAAAATGAAATTGAAATGGAGTATAGGGAATGACAGAACTTAAAAATATTTTTCTCTGCATTTTCAACATCATCAATGTGTACTCTGTAAAGATTCTGTCTACAACTCAAAAAGCCTTTCTAAATGAAATTCAGCAAAAAACAATGGTCTGTCTAAGCAGAAATGATCTTATCTAGGCCAGTCATTTGGATAGTGTATGGCAGTGTATTTGTGTACATCTATGTCTATGAAAACAATTTAGAGAAGAGGTAGGGAAAAGAGAATCCTGATAATATTATTTGTAAAGTATCTCTCCCCTGAATGATATTTCACCATCTAAAAGACTAATTAGATTGCATGATTACATGACTCTCCAGAGTTTTGCATCTTAGCAATAAAATGCCCACAGAGTCATTTATCATGTCCAAGGGTCAGTGGTATTTTTTGGGGTATTCATTTGGATAGATGAAAAACAAACACTGCAGTTTGGAAATTTGTAGATACATAGACATAACCTGTGAATGAGTGATCTGCAAGATTACAGACTGGATGCTCTTTAAATGGAAACATGAAAGGCATTTCTGTGCATAAATGCCAGATGTCTTTTTTAAAGTTCAAGATACTTTTAGTTACAGCCAGCCTTCAAACACTTCTGGATGCTTCCAAATGCAGTATCACAATGGCAGTCAAAAAAATATGGAGTGAGTCCACAAAGGTATAAGGAAGTGGATTTTGCACTTCTGATTTTTGGGTTTTTTTATGGTTTGGTTCTTTTAGCACTAACCAATTTGTGTTGCAGGCAGGCCAACATGTCACTGCTAGTGTCCTAGTTATATTCAGCAGTCTTCTTGGATGAAGTTTGATAAATGTATCTTTGGAGGACCATAATTTTTCTAAATGGTATAATTTTTTCAGTGAGGACTTTGGTCTTGAGTCTGCAAAAATCAACACTTTTGATTGACTTTAAGAATACAAACAGTGCAGTCCTTTGGGAAAGACCCTTAATTTCCAAAAACACTTCAAGCTGGACTCTACAGACAGACTTTTATGCTTAGTACTGTGAGTGCTTATCTTGCCTGATTTCAAAATACCCCAGATCAGCTGCAGGATAAGGCCAGGAGGATTTTCATCCTGAGTTGTCAATGTCTTCAGTACAAAGACATGTCTTTTTTGGATAATGCCAGGAGAAATGCAAATGCATTAACCATGCATTGACCATGCAGAGCAGAGTAGTCTTTTACATTCAAACTCTATTGGAATTCTCAAAGTAAGCATTCTTTTTCCCAACTAACCTATATAACTTAAATGGTAGCTATTAGTGGTCTATCAATTATATGTGTGGAAATTTTGGCCTCCAGCATTCCCACTTCAGAAAGTTTCCCAACTAATGGTTTCCTGAGTATGCAGGGATAAGGGACTGCTAAGGGCTTAGTAACTATGGCCTTCTCTTACAGAAAGGGAGACTTAGTTGTCTTTTGGGTATAAGGCATTTATTATTGAAAATTTTACAGTTTTATTTTTTTAATCAATTGATAGATCCTGGATCTCTCCTGCTTCAGGCTGTAATCCATGTCACTCACCTTGCTACCATCTTACTTTCTCCATCTTTCATAATGTTTTTTTTTTTTTTTTTTGGCAGGACAAAAGCTGGAAAATGCTTCTGCATCTGGTTTTCTTTGGGAGGAAAGACTTTGTGAAGTGTGAGGTGTAAGGAAAGACTCATTCCCCTTTGGATTATGAAAGCAGTGCTTATAATAAAACTGTATGTTGTGACTCTTCAGTGGATGGAGGTCAGTTCTTCTATGCATGCTCAATGCAACATAACTGTGTAGATTAAAGACTTTTAATAGTCCCTTCCTTTTGATATTTCCAGTGCACTCTCCAGTCAGTGCACTCTTCTGAGTGCACTGACTTTCCTAGGTAATTTCTGTTGTGTGCCATACCTAGGTCTCCCCAGGACTTCAGAAATTTTGCTAGCTAAGCTGGATGCCAGGAATTCTATTAAGTGGTAAATTGTCCTGTCCCCTCTCCTACCTTCTTCCCCATACCCCAACCCCCCCTCACTAACAAAAAGAATGTCTTTATAATAACAACTTTTAGAATGTAAAGTACATTACTGGACTAGGGAAAGACTGAAATTGTTACTTATTCTTCATTATGTGAGTGAACTTCATATGCATTATGAAGTAATGCAAAATCATTCAAAAGTACTGTTTACCAAGAACTTGGCAATCCTGTGGGCAGAGAAACATCTTAATCCCTTTCTTCTTCAGAATTTCAGAATTTAAAAGCTTTCCTTATATTCAGTTTATTCAGTTGGGATTCCTCTTTTTTTTTTTTTTTTTTTCCCCTGGGTTTGTCTTTAATTTGTCATAAAGTACAGATCACAAGAGAGGAGCTGGGAGGTGGAGCAAAAAACATTGGTCAGAGTTACAGGGAAAAGATCTTCCATTTTTTGAAGATGCATCCAAAAGAAATTATTTTTAGCCTGTAAAGTCTGATGCATCTCACCTAGTTTCAGGTGCCCCTGGTAAGGGACAAATGGGGGTCACCCTGAATTTTTCCAGTTGGATATGGAAAGTGGTGGTGAACTCCAAATTGCTGATCTCACCTCACATTTTCTTGATCCTTCACCACTGATTGTAAGGCACTTAAGATTGCCACTTAGAAAATAGCTATTTTAATAAGGTTAAAACTCAGGCCTTAAGAATCATATTTCCTATGATATTTTAATGCTAAAGAATGGAAAGAAAAAAGACTGGGATTTTCAGAAGACGTTAAACTTCCATTGATTTCAATGGGACTCTATGAATACTTTGGAACTTAATGAGGTTCCTGAGTACTTTGAGAAACTATGTCTGCAAACCTATATTTAATGTTATTTATTTTCACTGAAAATAAATAAAATTAAATATATTAAAAGCTGTGTCATACAAGAAAGTCAAAATGTGATGTTTTAGACAGTTCAGTAGCTTTTAAAATATTAAAATTTGTCCACTTATTTCCTAATAATTGGATCTTCAGTTTGTATAGGATGGTCTGGATGCACCATAAGATTCTATGAAGAAAAAGATTTTTTATAAAAATAAACAAATTCAGTCAAGAGTTGTTGGTAGTGGGAAAAGTTAAGAATGTAGCTTAATTTTTGCCCACCTGCTTATATCTTTTTTTCAGACACGAGAGATTAGGAATGGATTTTGCTTTAATAAAGTGTGCCTGCTGTGATATTGCTGCTGTTTCTAAATGGAATGTCTCACTCCTTGTGATATGAAACTCCACAAGTCCATTTTGGTGGGCAAGCAAGACAATCCTTTGTTAGCTCAGAGCTCCACTGACTTAAAGAAGGTGTAATGCCAGGGTGTAGAGTCTTCCATGTAGAACCTTGCATGAAAAATTTAGCAGGATTGAGCCTGAATTTGGCTATATTTGTATTTCTTGTAGCTGAAATATGCCATCCTGTGATAACAGCATCAGTAATCTTTTAGTAGGGTATTACAGAAAGGGAACAGCACTATGTTTATAATAAACAGGAAATTGTATACTGTTAGTTATTAATTAGCATAGAAGGACATGTACATAAAAAAATTATGAACTGAAATTGGAGAGCATGTTCTTATGTAGTGCATTTTTGTTTGTTATGTTGCTAACACTTGTATTATTATGCAAATAAGCAAATAATAATATAATAATAGAAATCCTGTATTTATGATTTAACATTATTAGATAATTTCAGAAGGAATAGTTGGCACCTCCTTTCTTATTAAAAAACTTGTGTAGTCACTGGAGTGATAAATTTTAAAAATTATTTTAATGTAATAAATATAATGATTAATATAATTAATACATGAAATAAATATAAATCATAACAAATAAAATAATAATAATATATATATTTTTTTTAAGGATCATATGCATATGTATTGTTACTCTAGTTTTTCCCCTATGTCATTTTTAACAGCAGTATGGAGTGATTTTAGTACCTGTTTCAGTAGAATATTTCAACAATAACACAAATCTGTTGCAAAAGTTACTACTTGAGAAAGTTCTTGTAGTTTATAAAGTGCTACTTATGAATGCAATAAGTGACATAAATATGCCAATAAATCTGACTTGATCTATATCACCTAAATCTAGGTGACATACCCATCTATAAAATACATCAGAAATGAAGTACAGGTGCATCATGAAGGTGAAGTTAAGTAAGTTCTGTAGTGAGGTCTTTGATAAAACTTTATTTTGTAAATTATAAGAGGTGAAAATTAAATAAATGCTAGCTTCTGCAATGAATGAAATAATTTCATTCCAAATACAATAACTGTAAACTTTGCATACCTAATTAATGTCTTCTTTCTATATTCAGGCATGACCATTAAATTTTTAAGCTTACTGCTGAATTAATTAATTCCAGAAGTACTATTTCTGACATGTTGTTTGGCTAAAGCAGGCATTCATCTATACCTTAAAAGTATTTTTGATACATTTACAAAAAATAGTAACTTTATATATTTCTTCCTACAACTGTGATAAAGTGTTGATAAATTTAAGTAGCGTATGTTTGGTAAGCATTTTTTGGTTTTCTTTTTTTCAGAATAAAAGAAAAAAATCTCTATTGAATGTGCAATGGAAGCAAATGTTTTTCCAGTTCAGCAGTTTCTGCTGAATTGTAAACAATCGGGTTGTTTCAGAAGGAGAGTAGCATGGTCCGTAACTCCGACAGCTAGTAGTAGTTTAGTTTACTGCTTCTACCACCTGCCTTCTGACTTAATATTGGAAGCAAGAAGCATGCAATTAAGTATGAGGAAATGAAAATAAATGACACTGTTCATTGCACATTACAAAGTGCCTGGCAGAAAGAATGCAGCTTGCCTGGACCTGATGACCCCAGGGGAAAACATGTCTCGTGCCTGGGAAAGTGCCAGCAAATCAGACACTGACCCTGGCTTTATCTACTATCAAATGTATTGGGTTCCTTCTTAGCAATTTGAAACTTTATTTTAAAAATTATAATTGAGTTCTGAAAAGCAGGGAGATATAAAATGAAACATGTACTGAGTATGGGGTAGGAGCTACAGGACAACAAACGTGCAGGAGTATTTTCTTTATCATTTCTTGAGGAAAGTTATTTGGATTACATCCTGAATTGGACTAATTTGAAGTGGTTATTAAATTCTAAGGTTTCTAGAGGTGAAGAGGTTTTTGAAAGATTACTTCCATCTATGCAGCAATATTGCATTCACTGCAATATTACTGGGTATATAACTCAAAACCTCCCCTCATTCCAGAATCTGAGTGCTTAAAACCTGTTTAATTTTAAAATGTGTGGTTTGTGAATGCTTTACTCTTTGTCCTACATATGGCTTATAAAATTGTTAGAACACAAAGTAATACTTGTATTTATGTCATTTGTCCTAAATTATCTATGCATCTTTAGAGAGGTAAGTAAATGCTATCCTGATAGCATTTACCTGAAGAAACTCGACCATAGAGAAATCAGATGGCTTGCTCAGAACACGTAACACATAAAACAGTAGTCGAAAGTGAGATAACCAGTTGTACAAGAAAATAAATGTTTTCACATAAATCATGTTATTTTGCTACAGAAGTCCTATATGTCTTTTTTTAGATGGATGTAGGTGCATTACAAATGAATTAACACATTACAGATTACTGTAATGCATTAATTCAGCACTACTGTCTGATTTAGATGGCCATGTATAAATAGTGGGGAAACTTTCATAATGAAAGCAGAAGCAAGTAAAGATTTTCATGTGTTCATGATCTGGTAAAAACTAGAACTCAGATGAGATATGCCAAAATTTGTAGACTTTTCAGTGAAGCTAAATAGCTACAGAGAATCTTATAGAACAGATAATTTCAGGTAGAAATGGTGCCAAGACTTGGTGGTTTTTAATGATTTCATCTTGAAGAAAAGAGCATCTTGGTAGCTTGATAGGTATTGGTTTGAGTATAATTTTTTTCACCCCATAACCCAAAGTAAAACTCAAGGGTGCAAATTCAGAAGGAATTGAAACCTTTTAGGGAGTCACAGACCCTCCATTCCAAAACCACCAACTTTCACTTTTCTGGCTGTATGCAAGTACATTGATCTTCTTTTTCTTAAATATTGTATTCACCTCTGTAGAAGGATTTTTTTCATATTTCAACCAAATTTTAGGTCAGTTCCTCACATTCTATGAAAGACAGTCTTCTTTACTGCACTTCTTCACAGGACTTTTCCCAGTAGGAAAAAAAAAGGTATTTGCATGTCAGTCATTGAGTCTCTGTGAGTTAAAAATCATGTCTTTCAGATATGCTTTCTATCCCTAGTCCTGCACAACATGAAATATGGTTGACAGCTATATTACCACACTGCAGATTGCAAAGCAATTCACATTCACACTTCTAAGTGCCTCTCCTTTCAAGACTTATGGATGTGTGCCAAATTACTTGCATTGTGGTATATGGCCTTCTATATGTACTTTATAGAATAGGTCTCTGGTTTCCATTAAAATCAATGAAGTAGAGACCAAAAGAGCTTTTCTGAAGTGTTTACTAGATGTCAGACAAGGTTAATAATAAAATAGTTCATGTATAATATGCATCTTCAATATATTTCAGTATTTATCTTTAAGATATTTTCTGAATTTAGGATGGAAATTCCTCAGCTAAGTTTAAATGTTGAGTAGCGTTAAGTTCAGCTGTCATTGTTTACTCCCCATTAGTGTCTCTGTAAAAAATGAATATATGATTTCATACCCTATTTAAGGAAGTGCTTCCAAACATAATGGACCAGTAACCATTTAAGGACTCTAAGGTCTTGTGCTAATCAAATCATTATGGTTATCTCAAATGAAATGGGAAAGACAGAAGATGCCCTAAAATGCCATTTCTTCTAGACAAATTAGTGACTATGCCATGTCACAAAGCCTCATTATTAGTCACTATTTCATTACAGCAGTTCTTTGTCAGACAAGTTAAAGTGGATTATCAGCAGTGATATTATAATAATATGATTAATTTATTAATAATTATTGAAATATTAGTGTGATTGTTTTCAGGCATATTACTATGGTAAATGAGGCTAAATGGTGGGGGGTAAAAATAAAGACCTGTGACAAACATTACAGTGACAAGCTCAATTATGGGAGAGAGAAGATAAGAGAGATGCTCTAAAGTTATCTGAGTGAAATATGGACTCAAGTGAATTTAGTCAGTGTGATTAAAATGGACTTAAAGTGGGAGGAAAGACATTAAAATAAGTGTATGATGGTGGAGGGTACATTTCACCTTTCTATTTTTTTTTCAATTATATTATTAAAGTTTCCCTTAGGACTACAGTACCTAGAAGAAAGCAGCAATACAGTTTTAAAATTGTCTTGAGATTTAGAGAGGGGGAAAAAAGAAATACATGGAAGTCATTATCACTGGCTTTTGTCAGTAATCCTAAATGCATGAGGTTTTTGTTCTTGTCAAAGGATGTGTTTAACCACAGTGGGAAATGTGTAAGTAGGGCTAGTGACTTGTTTTTCCAAATAACATTGTATTTTTGTAGCCCAGAGTTCCACTAAGTTGTGTGCTCCAAAGGATAAATGAATTACATGCAGTGTTTTTCACTTGAACTTTACCATATGTGAAAATTGTTGGTCTGTACCTCAAAGATGTTCTGTAAAATCATCTACTGTGGTTAGGAAACGTCAGCATGTCCATTTATCAAAATAACTTGGAAGAAAATATAGTGAACAGGGACCTAAATGTACTGGAGCAATTGCACTAGGTAATTCTCCAAAAGTAAGTTTGAAAGTGAAGCAAACTGATGCCGTTTAGAAAAATACTAGTCTAGTTAGTAAGACAGAAAGTTTGCTGGCTAATTTCAAAATACAGAAAAGAAATTTCTGGATATTAAATTTAGTTTTTAAGAATTCCTGTACCGGAGCACACTTCCCCTTTGTCTCTGAAAATAACCCATGGAGGGTAGCAGTAGATTCCAGCAAACGGTGTGAGTACAGCATGGTCTTTCATTTGATGTGCCCACGTATGCTCGGCAGTTGCTTCTCGTAGACCCAACCTCCACGAGCCTCATCTAATCTCTTGCAACAACTATCAAGTGTGTCACAGCAAGAAAGTTTGTCCACTGAAGTGGTGGAATGGAAAAACAGAATCTCACAAGTAAGAAATATTTATGCTTCCTTCACCAAGCTGTAAAGAGTCACCCATGGTTACATAAGCCTTTCCTGCAGGGTTTCAGCAGCTCTAAACATCCTTAACTAAGGTGACAAAAATCAACAAAAGTACCAAAAAATAAGATGTAAACAGCATAAAGACAAATGAAGGCAGAAAAATTAAACTTGCAAAAAAATTTGCAGACATCCTTTATGTTAAAATAACTAAAATTAAAAAAAGAATAAAAATAGAGGTGTTCTTAGTTCTTTGCCCAGGCTTTCTCTTCCATTTCAACCAGATGCTGGAGATGAGGAAAATGTGGACAAATAAGATGCCTGAAGTGGTTTAGAATGAGCATTAATGTAAGATGCATTTTTGAGTCCATAGGAAGTTTCTTGGTAATAGCAGTGAACCAGAGAAAAATGAATTTCCACTCAGAACTACTGATGCTAAAGTTGAATCCTGCACAGATTGCTGGAGAAACAACCTTTCTAGAAAATATAGGAAAATTATGGCACAACAGTGACTGCCACCTGCTGCAGTCCTGAGATAAAATGAGGGTGCCAGGATATTATTTCCCAGCTGTTATTAGCTCATTGGTGGTTTCTGTAAATGTGCTCCAAGACAACTGCTCTGGAGACAGCTAACCAGATTTTCAGCTCTTGACAAAAAAAGACATTATGAGTGTGAGGAAAATATCAAATTCTCGCTCCAAGTCCCTGGTCTCCTGTGCAAGGACCTCATGCCAAAATATTTTCAACTACCTCTTTAATTTGTCTATTTTTGTCATTTACTGTTAGCCCAAAAGACCACAGCAAGCCCAGAACTATGGTATAATAAAATCCAGTGTTTCTTAAAAAATATTGAGAGCAAGTTTATATACTTATCCAACAGAAACATTGGAGACAGCTTTCTACATTTTTGGTTTAACTTGAAAGCATAGACCAAAGTCATGGCTGCTGGTCCAGAGCTGCAAAATATAGCAAAGCCAGCATTCAAACATGGCTGGTAGAAGCTGAGGATGCTCATATTTCTTCACAGTGCACACGTAAGTGTGGTCTAGTGTGATGGCAAGTCTACCACAGAACATATCTTGCCTTTTTGGCCTCAGAATTTTATGGAAAATTAAGAAGTTGCTATTGGCAAATGTGTATAAAACAATGTTGAAAAAATAAGGGGAGGTGGTGATTTTTTACAGTGGAAAAGAAAAATCTCTTCATAAGACAAAAAAGGTGATCTATTAGCATAATAATGTCATCAAAGAGCAAGTGTTATAGTATTTTATATTTTTACACTGCTGTTCCATAAGCATACAACAATAGCAGGTTAATATATCAAATGTATACGTAAAGTCTTCCCACTGTGCATAACTGTTCCATATATTACTGTTATATCTTCTGAGATTAAGTAAACACAGAATGTAATGTACTGTACATAAATATAGCACTACTTAATCATAATAAAAATTTAAAAATACCTTTTTACCATGAGAACTGTGTCAGACTCTCTCAGGGAAAATGTTGGTTAGCTGAAATGAGAAGGCTTTTTTCTTTTACCAGAAATATACCAATTTCAGCATAACTTGAGTTTCAAGAAGGATTTTCTGGTTAAACCTGAATAAAACCTAACATAGACAACCAGCCAATGGATGTCTGTGAACCAGAAGGGAACAAAGGTCAGTTTGTTCTGTCTTTTTTACATAAGAAGCTTGAACCTGGATTTTCCACTTAGGTGAATGCGCTCCCTCTTGCTGGTAGTTTCAGTTTCCCCCACCAAATGTGCTCCCATCATTTTAAATCTGTAAGTGACCATTTGAAAGGTGGAGCCTCAGACCACTTCTAGCATAGCAACAGGGGAACTCAAGGGGAGGAAATGATGTTTGTGTTCTCAGAAAACTTTTGCATATTTCCAAAATCAGAGTTCTGACAAATTTGAAAGTAACAAGGGTTTGAAAGTTAAAAAAAAAAGGGAAATTTGAAAGATATTCATGCATTCTTGAAATAGCAGTATTTCAATAGGTAAACACTGCAACAGTAAGCAACCTCGTTATTTACTGTAAAGGAAGTAGCACTGCATACCAGAATGTGGTCCATGTTTGTAATCTGTGGAGACAGTGACAACTTCTTGTTATGGCTGAGAAGAGTACGAATTCACTACCTTCTACAGACTTCTGGAAAAGCACACTCCACTATGCCAGCTCTGGCAGGTCTGCCCATGCAGCAGGCAGCCGAATGTCAAAGCCTATTGCAAATCCACCAAAGTGACAATGAAGAGTTCAGGGCTGCATGGGCTGAAGACAACATGAAAGAGAAAAAAAATGAAGCCGCTATATTTACTTCTGTGGCCTTGTATGAGTCTGCCATATTACCTTCTTACCCTGCATTCATTTCACTATCAGGCAATCTCCTGAAACACAATTTCTTTGCTTGTCCCCTTGATAGAACACTTTACTTTATTTAAAATGTTTGACTCTATTTGCAAAGGCATGATAAAAAAGCATTTTATTTGTGCCATGAAATGAGAGAGTGAAGCAAGTTCCTGCAAGCAGGCTGCTTTGTTGAGTCAAATTTATACTCTCATTTTGAGTGTGGAGCTTATACCATTCTTCCCTTCTCAGGAAAAGATACGCTTTACGCTAATGCATAGTAATCTCTGTACAATCCCAACTCACTTTCTCTGCTTTCAGCCGCACCCTAGTGGGAAATTTCTCTGAGAAATTAACATGGGAATCAGCTTTTAACTGCATTTTTAAATATATTTATTGGTTAATTTTTTTTGTAGAGTTATGACGAAGAAATTTTTCTAATTAATGCTAATAGGTCTGTGATAACAGATAAAAGCCAGACACTGCAAAGTGCTACATGTGGACCAGTTACTTTCCTGGAACATGTTGAACATGAAATAAGTTAAATTGCTGTTATTTTCAAAACACATTATAAATTGGAAAAAAGGTGTGTGAAAAAAAAGGCATTCACCAAGTATTAACTATTAAGAGTGAAGTTAAGAGTTATAGATGGTCTCACACTGTTTTTATTTTCTGTGATCAGTATAATAGAGTGGTTGTATATAATAGATAATGACAGCTAGTTCAGTATGGGTGTCTTGCAAAAGCTAAATAAATAAAAAGTGACTTAGCTTTTATTTACCTTGCAGCAGATGAACAAATAAGGTGACAGTGAAATATATTTTTTCCTGCCAGCTAAGCATGTCGTCAATCCTTCTTACTAAAGTAATGAAGCACTGAAAAAATATTTTGTTTTCTTTTCACTGTGGTGGAGGAGTTTTACATCAAAAAGGAAGATAACACTTCAAATATGAGGATAGCTGTGGCATGGTGTTACTGTCTGCCTTCTAAGTCCTGCTTTCTGTTTTAAAAAAATCTGAAATGGCTCTAGATTATCCTGTCATGAGTACTGCCTCCTAGAAATTGCTTGAATAACATGTAAAGAAGACATATGGACAATTTATTTGGGTCTGAGTTTCACTCTGTTGGTGAAATTTTGTTTATGTACTACACAGGATTTCTTCAAGGAAGTGCTTGTGTCTTCGGCCTAAATCAGATGCTCAGAATTTCTTGTAAAAGTGGGACTGTCAAGTGCAAAGGAAAAAAAATCCTCATTTATTTCCTTCTAATTCATTGTTTCACTTGGGAATCCAGGCTTCAGTTTAAATTTCAGGGATGCCATTCAGAGCAAAGTATTTGTAGAATTTTAAAAATGGCCTTTTATAAAGGCAGCAGTGAAAATGGTGATCTGTTGTTTACTTTCTGTGTCAAAATTGCAGGGTGGCTTTTCTCCGTGGGCCCTTTGATATCAGACTATTAAATCCACTTTCACTACCAGTCCTGGACTTCTAGACTACATACATATGACAGCTTTGAAAAGCAGTGGGAGGAACGTGAAAGACGGTGCAAAACTGAATTCTGTGGCAACTGGGCAAATTGCCAGTAAATTCAATGAAGCTTTTCATTAAATTCAGTGTGTTTTACATTAAAGCTGAATTTGGCCTACTGTCTACAGCTATTAAAGTTACAGAGATTTAAAAAGTTACATGAAATTTAATGTACTTGAAAAAATTCAGTATAATGTTGAATCTATTTTAAACCAACTTGAAAAATACTTTTAAATTATCCTGTTAAGGATTTATGTGATGTTTGGCTTCTCTCTTTATTTTCTGTCTGGATGGATCAGATGAAACACATGGTCATTGGTTCCCAGAGTTTTCTGTATACACTTGGCAGCATCAAATGAAAATATGCATGCATCTGTTTATAAGAAAATTCTTCTGTTGTTGTGAGATTTTTTTAACGACCATCATAGAGTGATAGATAATTAAGATTGTTCTCTTTTCTCCTTGAAGTTTGTCTTAGATTGATGTTATAATAATGGTCAGCTTGTTTCATCAGTAAATGTCCAGAAGTTAAGGACTTTAAGAGCTCTACAAAAAAAGAGAGGTATGTCCAAAGGAAGTGAAAAAATAGCATTCTTTTCCTGCCTGTCCTAAGGAGGTATGAATAGAGAAGTTAGAATAAGACAGATCAAATAAGTCAATGAGACCTGCTTGCAGGATGGCTGCCCTATTTAGGATCCACTATTCTAGTTTTGCAACTTCTGTCTAAGCACCACAAGATGTTTGCAGACAGGAGTGTTATTAGTGATTTTTTTAATGGAAAGTCTTTGGGAACAGTCTGGACAGCAAATCACATGGTGATATGTAAGGACATACAGGGAAGAGATCAAAGCTAAAATTTCCTGTTTGCATGTAAATAGCAGCGAGTTTTGCAGTGTACACTTTTCTTGGCTGAGAAAGTTATGTTCATTAGGTCCTAATTGTCCAGCCAAACCCAGAGGGGAATGCAGCTGAATGCCTCAGGTACATTCAAGGAAATTATGTGAATAGAAATGTGTTTTCATAGTGAACATTTCACAGCTACAAAGCCTTAGGTCATATATTTTAATTCCACACTATACAGTTCCCAGGTCAGAAGGCAAAATTCCTGACCAAAGACTGTGTGCTGACACTTTTGAAATAAGCAAATGTCATCCATTTATTCCCTTGTGTCTGGGTACCATTTGCATCTGGGAATGTTATGACCAAGAGGGTGCTACAAGTCCCTTGGTACAGAAGACAAAGTTATATTCACGGATATTAGATCACTAATATATAAATTATCCTGTAAATTCATTCAGGGACACCAGTTTTGAGTGTTGCCAAGTTAATTTATATTGACAACACATCTCTAAGATGAAGAACATTAGCAGGATTTGGCTCATAACCAGACAGGTACCGAGTTATCCCAAAACACCAGAGTTGGAAGTTACTTAGGGTGGAAGTCAGCACATGATGCTCAAAGCACTGCTCAGGGAGTTCAGCTGGTTTACGTCCTACCTCACTGGGGTTTTTTTGTGTGTAACACGGTGGTTAGTCCTGCATGAGGCATGAGATGGCTGTTTTTCCAGCAGCATTCACAATCTTCAACCCAAACTGCAAAAGCAACAATGTTTTCTGCTGCCTTTCCTTGTCATAAGTTTTTCTCTCCATATTTTGGTCAAACTCCAATTGTTTTCTTTTTAAAATTTATCCAGTTACTTAATTTTCCCTTAATGAAATTCCATTCTGTTTATTTCAAGAACACCTTTTCATTGCTGCTTTGGTGACAGTAAAGTGATTTTTGTCCTATATTGGTTATGCTGCATCAAAGTCTAATTCAGGCTTAAAACTGCCCTCTAGCAGTTTTTTCTACTCTCAATTTGAATTTATCCCTGATTATTTAACTAATAGTGGAATAACCTCAAAAACTCAAGAAGAGACAGGCAATAATGTGCAATTCTTGATGGTTTTTATTTTTATGTTCCCCTGCCACCACAAAGAGTATCCCTTAATTATGTATTTGAATTATTGATGCTGCTCAATTGTAGAGAACCCTATCATCTGAGTGACTTTTATTTGAATTCCTATCATTTTACTCTGCCAAATCTATAAAGAAAAATACAGCATTTACTGTAGTTTACTGTATGTTGTCAGTAAACAAATAAAGTAGGACTGCATCTTTCAGTGACGGGAAACACAGCTGAAAGAAGAAAAAGAAATTACACAATGACAAGAAGAACTGTGAGCCAATAGGAACATAAAACGTGTTCACCTTCTTGTTATCTCACAGCATTCAGATGATCATAACAGTTTAGAAAGCATACCGCCCACACCACAGGATCTTGCTCCTCTTTAATTTTCTCTAATTTGTGTAGTGAATAACCAAATACTCATAATGCAATTAGAAGATAATCAGGCTTGTAATTATGTTAATTGCTGGAGACTTACATCAATCCTCCAGCAAAGTGATAGGATTTCAGGGGAACTATTAACATGGGAAGAGAGAGGAAGCACACATGAGAGAGAAAGAGATTGGGGGAGTGGGTAAATTGATGAACAGCTTAGGCTTGTATCATTGAGCAACAATGAGAATACAATGGTGCAACAAATGAAAAGGGCCTCAAGGGGAGAAGCTCAGAAAATGAGGTTTTAGGTACCAGCAACTCAACCTCTTTTGTCTGTTTTCTTCCCATAAATAATCATGTTGTGCATCTATATTTATTGTAATAAGCCCAATTCAGAGAAATCGGATCCATAGCTGAACAGAGAACAAAGGGGAACTGTTCAGCTATGCAGCAGTTTGCCATGTCTCCCACACCACTGAAAGAGCCACTGTATTACCTTCTGTCCTCGACTCCTGGGGGTATTCTTTTCTCATGGTGATGTCCGATATTACATTTAAAGCCATAATACTGAAACTGCAATGGGCTGTCTCAGAAATGTCATGGATCAGTCATAATCTCTGAAGAACATACAATACATAGTGGACTGACAGAATTTATAAAGTAATCCACAGTGAAAATGGTTTTTTGTGTTTTTATTTACCTTTTTGTCAGTACTTCATCGAGGTTGTAATGAATGCTTAAGTCTTTTGAAAGTGAGTTTTGTCAGATGTAGTCTGATATAAGTTGTAGATGATGACTGTATTCTATTAGGGTGGCTATTTCTCAGTTTACAGAACATTTTCTGTGTTTACCTGTCAGAAATTGACTAGCTGGCTTAAAACAAAAATAGATTTTTTTAAAGGAGTATAGTTATTATTACTAAGTTACTTTATTGTAGTTTAAAAGTTAGTTCCAACATGGAAAATTAAACTAGTAAGGATCAAGAAAGATTACCCTTAGACTAGTAATCTTTTGGCCCACAGCTGTCATGATAAAGATAATGAGTAAAATCAGTTGTTTTCTCTTTTGATCTGTATGTTTATACATGCAATTAAACTAAATGGCATTTTGCAACATTTGATTTGCTCTAGGAATATACCTAGATGTAAAAATACATTAGGTTTTGCAAAATGGAAAAGCACATTTTGTCATATGTATTTTAGTGGGCATTAGACTATTATTTATGAACTATGAATAATGATCTAAA